GACGAGAAGTTGCAGCCTGAGGCCCGACGTCAACTTCCAATCCCCACACTGAGCGGTGCAACGAACCATGGCTCCCAACCTAGCAACGTTTAGCACCCGGCGGTCACCTGAGAGCGGGGCAAAAGACGACTTGAGACACAAAGTAGGGCTACTCTACAAAAAGCTTTAATAGGAGGTTATAATATAATTGTTGATATATTGCTCGGGGCTAGAGTGAATGTCAATGACTAAGGTGGTGAGTACAATAATGTAATATAGGCTACTGTGTGGAGAGGAAGTACCGAGACAGTCAAGATCCTCCTTGACGCTCAGGCCGATGTCAATGGCTCGGGTGGTCATACGGCAACACACTACAGGCTGCTACATAGAAAGGAAGTACTGAGACAGTCCAGATCCTGCTCAACGCTCAACAATGTGGCAAAATAATTGTAAAATGCAAGACACATATCAATTTTAAGGGGTGCAATATTTGATATCACTATTATTCAGTTTCTGTGCTTTCCACAACAAAGTTTTCATCAAAAGCTTCCAAGCACGGCAAGTTTTTCTTAAAGTGCGCCAGCGCCCCAGCCAAACCCGCACATAATCTAAGAATTTGACGGTTCGAAGGGCTGGAAAAAGCGCCTACATAATGGTGTCACCATATCCCAATTAGCAAATTACACCGATTGCGAAATTGTAAACTCAACTCACGGATATCCGACATAAAACTTTATCCCACTGTTCTTGGCTCAACCCATATTCAGGTACGCCGAATTCACTTTCGTACTGAGGATTGATCTTCAATATCTTTAGGGATGGACATTGTAGCTGTGGAATATAATCGCGTCCTTTTGGGCAGTACAAGCGCAATCGCTGAAGGTTTGGAAAATTAACTCCTTGAATTAGAGAGTCGTAGATATCTGCATTATCTTCGTTAATAATGAACAGATCGGCTCGTGTGACCAAGTTTGCGTGAAATTGCTTGCGACAAGGATCACGAAATCCTGCAAAACAGCCAAGGAGATCATCTGCGTTCCCGTGGCCAGGACCACCCAGGCGCCTCCAGATAAACCGTATAGCCTCACACCACCAAAGTGTATTGACAAGGCTACATCGGAGCAAGACACCCTTCTTGTAGTAATAATAGGTCCTAGGACAGTTACTCCAGTCAATCTCACTAAGAGAGCTAAGCCCGTCCCAGACGATGCTATCAAGAAAAGCGTCCTCTGCGTCATTCCCTACTTCACAACTAAAACCATCATCCTTATCAATCCAGGAGAAGATTTCGCGAAGGAGTTGTGGCGTGGAAAGTACATGATAAGTCGCCGTCATCGATAAGTATTGTCTGTGTGGGTAATATATAGGAGTCCCGGTTTCAGAAAGAATAAAGTTGAAGCATTCAGAGATGAACAAGATCTTTAGCGAGTTGCGCAAAATCGCTTGAAGTGATGAGTCAATTCAATTGCCAACCCCACTTTTTGGCCAGTCCCACCAAGTAAGACATCTTCGGAGCCTATGAAAGCCGAGGATGTACTAGGTGGGTCTATGCTGCGCGACCCACCCTCCTATGTCGACCGGACCCTGAATTCGCCCGACCATGCGTATGGGACGGGTTTTGGGCCCAGACTATCGGAGCAAGCTGAGATAGTACAAGCCAGTTATACTCTCCAACGAATAGGCAACAGGCGAGATCAGGCGGAACTAATTTTGGATCAAGACGTTTATTGATTGAAGAAAGAACGAGTATCATTGTGGGGGGGGGGTGCATGTCATTATTTTATGGCCGTAGGTTGTGATTAAACACTGCCTACGGAGTACTAATTCCCTAGTGCTATAAATATAATCAGGCGTTCCAAAAAGGCGGTCTGATTGGCCATCTCGGCGCGCTTTATGTTAGGCGAATGCCAGCCACGCTAATCCGATGGCTTTGCACGGTGAATGTTACAACACGGTTTGACTGCTGGATCGAAAGCCCACCCCCCGTTATGAACTCTTTCTGTCACTACCTCCTCCAACTCTACCGCAAGTCTTCCATACTTAAGTACCTTGAAATATCAGCATCTGAGGACCAACGGTCTACTGATGGCGCCTAGAACAACAGATCGCTTTCCGTTGTTCTGGGGAAATCTTCAACTCACCTTGCGCTTGTGCATCCTTGGGACAGCTATCGCAGCTCTCTGCTTTCTGGTTAAATTAGCTACCACGTACAAGAACGCCAATAGCGGCCAGGGTAAAACCTTTAGCGGTGCCATTTTCACAGTGAGCGTTTCCGAGCCAGCTAGCAGCGCCTAGCTAATGCAAAGCATCTTAACCAGAGCACCTGCGCCATTGTCACCAGCCTAGTTGAGTCTGTTACGCTTCTCGACTATAGACACCGTATAAAACGGGCTCCAGGGTGGATTAGGGGGGTCTGCGGATCTGATTGTACTTGGTGTGGGGATTTACTCGATTTTGGAGATCCTGTTGAGTGATTTTGCCCTTGGGGACGCGCCTGTGGGTTATCCAACCCCGTGGAGTGAGCTTCAGTATGTGGCGGGTAGTCTGGTGATTGTTATTGTGTAAGAACTTATCACGCCAGGAGAGATCCAGAACTCAACTAACGGTATTGGATAGGGTTGAAGCGGCCATTGCTCTGCTTCTGGGATGTTTTTGTGGATGCAGGGAACGACGGAAGAGGGGCACGCACGTATCTCCCTCAGAGCAACGATCGACCGCTTCGGTTGAAGATCAGCAAACTCATCAATAGATAAACAAAGTTGCGCATTCACGGCCAGGTGTAGGGACATACGAGGGAGTCGATACCGTCGATTAGGTCGACGAGGTTCGTAGGTATAATCATTATCGAAAGCAGCGTAAGCCATACCCTCAAATCAGTAGGTACTTCCGAGGAGCGTATTTATAGTGCCATCGTACATTAGCTGGAAACAAGAGGCTGCCACCAGGCATGAGGTAAGAAGATTATGTATCTGGCAGGCTGAGTACGGTGATCAGCAGGATCATTGGTCTTCTGTCAATTCGAGTTCGGTAGATCGGCCCCTGTAGTAAGGTTGTAGGGTTGCTAAAGGTTCTATGACTGCGAGTAAGCGCTAGGATTGCCACTCGGACACGCTGCGTAGACGGGGAAGATGACAACAAGTTGTCAGGTCTGCAAGATCCAGCTTGAATAGTTTGCATTGCTACGGAAGGTTTCCAGCAATACTCGTATCTGCCATACACACGAAAGCAGATGGTATGTAACTTAATTCTGTAAGTATCTGTATTGGTAAAAAACCGCAAATTTACTATTTGTATTTTTTGCTTAATTTAGGTCTAGTGTATCTTGGCATCTTGGGTTCGGGAAAGAATGAAAGAGTGTAGGGGGTGACACTGATTTCCGGAAATACTGTAGAAATTAAATGAACCGGGGCTTCTTATCTTTTTCTACCCTCTTAACCCCCAGTCAAAGGAACATAAAACAACAAAAATAACCTGTGCTTCCAGTCGAACAAGAGCAAAGCCGGAATCTTGAAGAAAAGTGCTATTGATTGATTCACCATCGTACCAAAAGCAGACACTGTCTAATGCCGTATATATATTTACGAGAAGGAACATACTTCCTCGATATCGAAATACCAGGCAGGAAGCGCAATGTTCGTCATCTCCAATGGTTTATTACACGCCAACAAGGACGTTGCGGAAGAAGAGCTGCCGATCATGCGATTGGTCGTGGTGAAAACAAAACAAAAAGAACTTTGCAATCTGAATCCCTTCTTGTCAGCCGTATACACATATAGATGTATATATTGTCACCCTATAATTGACTATAGTGGGGGGCTAAGAAGGCAGAAAAATGTGAAAGGCACCGATCAAAAAAGGGAAGCCTGGCGTAGCCAGGAAGAAAAGTCGGATGATGTGGAATGGATGATGGTATGATTGAAGGCTGATGAGAAAGTAGAATTTGAGGAGAATATTGGAGTAATTTATAAGTTTTCGTAATAAAGAAGAGTTAACCTAGCGAAATCTCGACAACGAAGATCGATCGCAGTCCCCGAAAGGGAGTCAAGATCCTTTGCTTGATAACACTCGAGACCCAACCCTCGACCCACCCGACTGAAAGGAAAACTGTACAGGGGCTATTTTCCAAAGAGCGCCACGGCGTCTTTCAGTGACTCATGTCGATGATCAGGTCCAGAATACGGAGGGCTGCGTGCTGCGAAGAGAGGTTGAACTAGCCCTTAGAGAGCAGTATACCAACTACAGGAAGTAATTTAATCAAAGTCCAGGCAACAATACATCAGAATCACCAAGTCTAGAGACCTCGAATTCTGAGTCTCGAAAAATCAAAACTTGAAAGTCGAAGCTCAGATCAGTTCAGATCAGGGATAGGCATCCAAGAAACAAAGAACCATTCAGGCACGGCAATGCCGTACCAGAACTCGGACTCGCCACAGTGGCAAAAAAGGCCCCAAACCTTTGAGGCTCAAAAAAAGGCGCGAAAGAGCTTTCTTTCTCTTTGACGGGGTGTCGTCGCTGGAGCCTCGCATCTCGCGTCACCCCCCCTTCCCCTCCCCTCACTTGAACAGTGCCCCACCCGGATGAGGATGATGGGGAGTAAATCATGATCCCATCTCCAAAATCAGCTTTTTCGAATAGAAATTATATCATAATAATTCTATGAATCTTTTCATTTTCTTCTGTGACTTTTAACTTATCAAACCGTCTGTAGCGTACAGGATCATGGAAAGAAACTCACAGACTGTAGAAAAGTTGATGCCCCAGGCCACAAAATGTGGATTGCTGGAGAACAGTGGAGCCTGCAACGTCAGACAGGGCATGGCATCCTTCCATCTTAGAAACGCAGAGATGCTCTCGGACAAGAGCAGTAATGTTATGCGGGGTAATAAACCATTCCATCTCCGCTATCTCTATATCCCAGCCTACAGAGTACATAGACAAGAATCAACCCGCCTCAACGGGTGCAGATTAGCGCGAAACTTGAGTCTCCGACAGCGGTAGTACACATGATATGGGATAGCAATATGGCCTCTACCCCAGAGACACAGACAGAACCAGAACCAGAACCAGAAACATTATTCTCAATCCTCACGACTGAACGCTGGCTCCATAATGACATAACGAGTTTCATTGTATTCCAGCCTAATGGAACAGGACATGTACATATCCCAATGCCCATCATATCAAGACTATATCCCATCCTACGCATACAGCTAACTCCAATACCAGCTCCTATTCGGCGGAGATCTGGCTCCATCATTTGTCCGAGGCTTCGACTGGAAAGCCCTCAACACTCCAGCCCTCGAACACACAATCAACGTTCCAACCAGCAACAACACACGCACTCTCGCGCATCTCAGTCTAGAAATAACCATCACGAACTACGACCCGTTTCCCGAGTACTACGACGAGAAGAACCGCCCAGCTGCACGAACAGAATACAACGATCTAAACGAAGAGGGTATGCTGCCGAAAACGTACACAGTTCGGTTGGAAAGTGGTCGGTTCGCGATGCCTGTTATGATGGATCTTTATGGGAAGGAGGACTTTACGGGGTCTCGTAGGAGTAGGTTACGGCTTGCTTTTGATAAATCGCCCTATCGCCCGCGGCAAGAGTGGAAACGGGAGCGATTTGGAATTGATAGTATGAAAAGGGAGACTGTTATTTTTGTGGCTCGTGCGATTCAGGAAAATACCTGGGATAACTGTGTTGTTATTTGATATGATTTGGCAAGAAAAAGGAAAGAGAAGTACGGGAAATAATTATTAAAGGCGTTATTTACTGGATGCATCGCACTGTAGACTGCGAGACGTTATTCTGGTACTGTACTCGAGTGTTCTAGTATGAAGGGACAGGGTCGGTTGCCCGGTAGGCATGGGTGGTCATTCCGAGACGGTCGCACAGCAGCGAGCCCCGCGTGAATAATCCCTCCATGCCGTCTAGTTGGCCGGGTCTACCGGTATGGAATCTTGAGGTGAATGGGCGATCGACTCCAATAGTGCATGCATCGGAGATGGCATCGGCGACTAGTTTACGCTAGGGATGTTGAGATGGAAGGGGGAGGCTTGTTGAGGGGTGCGCTTATTGTGATGGAGATGACTCGAGGAGCGAGGTCGGATGCCTCAGTAGGTATCCGCTTCAGCGAAAGGAAGGCGACTCGCGGGGTGGGGAAAACAACAACGCGCTGACAACGCGTCGAGGGCTTCAAGGGAGAGAAGAAGAAAGAAAAAACTAGAGAATACTGAACTACTTGTCTTGCGACCAGGAGTGGGTTGAATCATAGAAGATCGCATTTCAGCGTCTATGTCATGGTTGGAGCGCGCTAAGGCACCAGGTAAAGGTAATTCCTAATGTACATGCCCATGACTGAAACCATCCCGGATTATTGGGTATGGCAGTAGCATTGTGATCCTTGCGTGCTAAAGTAAAGCAAAGTTCGAAAACAACCCGATTCCGAAACCCATTGTGATATTGAAAAGCAAAAACCCATCATTTGATCGCCAGTTCGTAAAAAAAAAAGAAAAATCAGAAACCCCATATCGCCTTTCCATTGTTCAACGAAGAAGAAAAGCATCCACCACTCTCAAAGCCTCATGTGTATGAGAGAAGGCATTTAAGAGCGCTCGCCACGGAGGCGGCGGGCCAGCTGGATGTCCTTGGACTGGATGGTGACACGCTTGGCGTGGATGGCGCACAGGTTGGTGTCCTCGAACAGGGAGACGAGGTAAGCCTCAACGGACTCCTGGAGAGCACCGATGGCGGAGGACTGGAAGCGCAGGTCGGACTTGAAGTCCTGGGCGATCTCACGAACCAGACGCTGGAAGGGGAGCTTGCGGATGAGCAGCTCAGTGGACTTCTGGTAGCGACGGATCTCACGCAGAGCGACGGTACCTGAGATGGGAATGTTAGAAAGAGATGATCCGATGAGATGAGTTGGGATGGGAGATGGAACATACCGGGCTTGTAGCGGTGAGGCTTCTTGACACCTCCGGTGGAGGGGGCGGCCTTGCGAGCGGCCTTGGAGGCGAGCTGCTTACGGGGAGCCTTGCCACCAGTGGACTTACCTATTGAAGTTGTTAGCGCGATGTTGTGAAAAGGTGAGAGACGCGTCGCGTCACTGGGCCCCCACTCCCCGCTCGAAGTGCTGGTGATGAGATGACACCACCGCCACCCACGAGAGCGAGAGTGAAGCCAGCGAGCACTCCAAAAGGAGAAAAGTAGAAAGAGTGAAAAGGAGGGGGAATACTAACGGGCAGTCTGCTTAGTGCGAGCCATCGTATCAAATTAAGATGATGAAGGATGGAAGTTGTTGATGAAGATGATGTTGTCGAGAGTGGATGGAGAAGGGAAGAAGAGGTGGGTGGGGGAAGAGTATTTGTAGGGAGTGCGACCGGGGAGGGGAACGAGTTGATCTGGAAGTCAGGTCGAGCCAATGAACACGCCGATCAATTTGGCGGAAGGCAAGGCCGGTTTGATTCTCTCCCTTCCGATGGTGAGTGGGGGCTTGTGATTGGTCAGATCAAGTTGGGACAATGGTTGGCTGATTTGGCTGATTTGGCTGATTTGGGGCTAAGCGAGAGTCCTCTCCCGGATCGACCAATCACAGTCCAGGATCAATATCTCTAGAATACCATCCCTCCTTTCAATCGTGATCCCCGTCGCCAGGGAGGCTGGATCGTTGATCTAACTATTCGAGTGTATTGATCTATCTTTTGGAATGCTCTATGATTTTTTTCGGGGTATGATTAACATGTTTGGTGGTGATTGGAGACTGGATCAGAGAGTACCAAGTTAGATCAGTGGTGTTCTCGGCCTGGGGCATCCGGCCGATCACGCCAGTCTACGTGAGTGCAGAGGGAGGCCCTCGGATCACAGCCCTCTGATTGGTGGATCCCCTCACTAGCGCGTGATTCTGAGTCCTGCATTCTGATCCCCGCCCATTTGCACTTCCCATACAAATATCCTTTCTCCTCCACCCTTCTTTCCTTCTCCATCTCTCGTCGACAACACAAGTCTCATATCCACTTTTCCCAATCTCCCTTTTTTTCTCTACAACACTAATTCAAAATGACTGGCCGTAAGTCTTCTCCATTCCCCCGGGTCTTCCCATCTTGGGATTTCTTGGGTCTTCATTCTCTCTCGACGCGTCTTTTCTAACGCGTTCAACAGGTGGAAAGGGTGGTAAGGGTCTCGGCAAGGGCGGCGCCAAGCGTCACCGCAAGATCTTGCGCGACAACATCCAGGGTATCACCAAGCCCGCTATCCGCCGTCTCGCTCGCCGTGGTGGTGTCAAGCGTATCTCCGCCATGATCTACGAGGAGACCCGCGGTGTCCTCAAGACCTTCCTCGAGGGTGTCATCCGTGACGCTGTCACCTACACTGAGCACGCCAAGCGCAAGACCGTCACCTCCCTCGACGTTGTCTACGCTCTCAAGCGCCAGGGCCGTGAGTTTTCCTCTTCCTCAGTTACCTGTCTTCCTTCTTCAATACTAACCTTCTCTCCTCTCAGGTACCCTCTACGGTTTCGGCGGCTAAGCGTCTCTTGTCTTTCTTCTCTTTTCCGGGTTAACGGTACGATGGGACGTTGGGGTGTTTATCTGATTTTTTAACAATCGTCATGGGTCTGGGTTTGATTTCTTTTACAACGACTACCACTTTTGCGTCCACTATGGGTCTGCTAGTGTTCGCTTCTCTAAGCTTTCCTGTATCATAGCGGCCTTTCTACAACATGGCTGGCACCACTTAGGTGGAATTGACACTCTCGGAACGAGATGTGCTCCGATACGAATACAATTTTGAAACCACGCAATTATTCCATTGTAGACTCAATCGTAAAATAGCTTCCCTCCATTCTGAATGTTATCCTTGAGCTGCGCGGGCGAGTCTTGACTTGACTTCTTCTCGCGTCTTTGCTTTCGCGTTGTTTTGTTGACGCGTTCGCGGCGTCGCATTGCGGTCTCGGCTTCACGGTGCGGGTACGGTAGTCCATAAGTCTGTACTCCCGCTTCATTGTACTTGCATGCAAGATACGTGGGTAATTAGTATACAATTGAATGTTGTAGTAAACAATAATACAGTACCAAGTACAATTCTTCCCTGTCTTTTCGCTGTATTTTCTTTGCTTCGATCGCGGGGGAGTTTGTCTCGGTCGCGTAGTGTTCAACTTGGCCCACGACACTTATAATCGTACGGTGGACGCAAAGACATGCATTTTTCTTGTCAAGTATGGATGATAATAATAATTTAACCATCGCACGTTATTCCCGTGTTTATTTTTCTTATAAAGTGCTAGTATTGAGAGTTTTCAAAATGAAAGTCCCAGTTATGGAGGAAGATGGTGATGTGTTACTCTAGAAATATATATCACTATCTTGTAGGTCCACCCAACTCAACATGATTAACCTAAATCCACAGAATTCCACTTCAATTTGGTATCAAAAGTTTGACAGTCTTTCAATAAGTATAGATGAATCAATTACAATTCGAACTTACCTAGGGATCAGGCATAAATTGAAATTGTAAAATGTGGCATTTCTCGGTCGCCAACCCGGTCTTTTGCAAGTGATAATCCCTCCGAATCTCGCGCTGAATCCTCTTTGGACAGGTGGCCGAGTGGTAGATTTGGTTCACCACGCAACGCGTTCAAATCATCCATCGGTCAAATTTAAATAATTTTCATAGTATACCCCAAATCAAATGCCCATTTCGCCGGTTCTAGATTCAGCCTGATTTTTATTTATTTTCCGAGGTGGTGATTGCCCCGAAATCACCTCAATGACCTGGCAGCGGCCAACAAGTGACCAGCAAGTGCGGTAGGTTCCAACCTTGAATCATTCACCACCCACCTGGGCATTCCCACAGACATGCAATGAATCACTCGCAGCCCCTCTACGAGTACGCGATACCAACCAGAGATCCTAGTGCAGGAATTCAATGTCGCTAGATGCTCCCCTTATCACCCCTCCACGGCCGGACCCTCGCCGGCCAACGCCAACATACACTAGACCATCCCCACTGGGACCAGACACGGCACAAGGCCAGCCACAATGGTACCAGGTACTCGATAATACCCTTGAGAGGAGACAGCTTGGAACGACATGGATCCTACCAGAATTGACAGACAAAAAGGTTACTCTTCGCCCGGAGCTCCCATTCGAGTGCGCTATCGGGAGTATGTCCAATATTACCCGAGCAGCACCACGAGGGCCGTCGAATCGAGCCGACCTTACTGCAAGTCACGAACACAGGATTGACGACTTCCTGCATTGACTATGTGCAGCGAGGGGCACATGCAACAGCAGCCATGTCCTACTAGTGTTCACCAGACCCAAAATCCTGACAGGCCACTAGGTTCATTCTAGAACAAACGATCCGCTAGACGTCCACTTTGCAATCCCGGAAAATTGAAGAGTCCCACCGAAGTTCACAATATACCCTCGTGGCGAAAACCCGCATATCAGCAGGCCCCAATAGAAGCCTGAAATATTGATTCCCCCGGGGGATGGGCACAGAAATCGCCAGGCCAGTCTCGATCCTCACGCGCCCGATAGAAAAACAAACAAACTCCAGGCCGAACGAGGAGGATCTAGGGCGACCAACTCGTGATCTCGACCGGAGTAAAACCAACGGGCTGTCGCAACTAGCCCCAACATACCCACAGGAGCTGCCATGACTGGGTCGCGACGAGCGACCCGACAGTGTGCATACATACTACGCTATGGACAAACCAACAGCCACCATGCACCGAGATGCCTACCGCTCAATCCAGTCCCCCCTCCCGAGGTCGGGATTACCAAACTGTTGATGCGACAGAGCCACCAATCATGGTCTGGTTCCCCTTTTCAAAAACCAGGCGGAGCTGCTGAACAATGACTTCGCGTTGGGGATAATCATGCTGGAGCCCCTTCCGACCGGCCTAAACCCGACGGTTTTCGGGATACTATATTATAGTTCGACGGGCTCTAGTCGCTAATCATAATCCGCACACCTTATTGCACATAGGCACAAACTTATCGACAGGGCGCTTGGCATGGTGGATCTGATTCACCCAGAGAGCACGCTAACCTCAGGTGGATGCAGCTCGCGAGCCGAAGACAATCATGGCGTCTTCTGACTGGTTGTCACTGTACTTCATTTTTTTTCAATGGCACTCGGGGCTGAACCTCTTTCGTCGCGGGGTCCAGACAGGGTATCACTCGCTCCAATCATGTATCAATTAACTCCCAGAAGCTTGGGTGCTGTAACCGCATCGCATTGCACTTAATTCTTGAGCTTTGCTTGTATATACGGTCATATCGGCCGACGCTCCCAATTCCTGACTCCTCCCCGTGTCTTTCTCCATTCTTCCCCGGAAGATGCGACAATGTGGTTGCTTGTCCTTGCGACAGTCCTAGTCCTCACGGACGGGGGTTTCGGTGCTTCCAACTCCTCCAACTCCACGAACTCCACCTATATCGACCCGATCAAGAATTTCTGCCAACGGTTATGGCATCAATGTTGGTGGGCCCCAATTACCCCTATACGAGTACGAGCCGGTACCCAGACTCGCAAAAGACTGACAATCGCAGCTGTTGTGAAAGATGATGTCCTCTATATCGATGGTGGCCTTGAGGTCTTCATTCCGTACAACAACCATGGGAATCCCGAACAAGGCATACCCATAGTCGGAACTAGTACGCTTCCGAAATCACACCCTTGTTTGAAAAAGAAAAATACACTCACCCTTCGCGCAGATACTTACATGGTGATGGTTGGCCTGAACTCGTCCTGGAACTGGCAAACAAATATCTCAATAACCGCAGTCAACAAAACAGTCAATACAAACACCGGAACTCTACCCCCATCAAACGTCCGCGGCGCAATGTACGCCGGTACAAATGAAGACTCCAACGTTTATTCGTACGGAGGGACTTCCTCCTACGCCAACCGAAGCTTCCCGGGTTTTCTGTTCCCCACGGCGCCAACATACACCCTCTGGTCATTCGAAGCACAAGAGAAGGCCTGGGGTCAATATGATATATCGCTCGACGTGCCAATACGACCAGCTGGGGGCGCATACGCAGAAGTGACAGGCCGTGGAATGGGATTTTACTTGAATGGGTTCATTGATAATGGCTCCAATCCCGATTACCAGTATTACACCGATTTCCGAAGATACCTGGACGGTCTGGTGGTGCTCAACACCACGACGCAAGAAGCGAAGAACCTTTCCACCTCGTCTTTAGAGAATTACCCCCGCGCCATGGGCGGGCTGGTATACCTGCCAAACATCGGCACAGAAGGAATCTTGGTTTCGATGGGCGGAGTGACAAAACCAACAAGCAATGATGCCCTGTCAGATATGGGGACATATGTAAGTGAATCCGAGCACCATCGGAAATAGCAAGGGAATTATCCGACTCACATACTTGCCACGATCACAGATCCCCTTCGATAGTGTTGATTTCCTCGACGTAGCATCTATTGACAACGGCAACTCGGACGGAAATTGGTACTCACAGAACACAACAGGCGACATACCCGCACCACGAACAGACTTCTGCCTCGTGACAGTATCAGCGCCGGATAACTCAAGTCACAGCATCTACCTCTACGGCGGGAAAGGCGAGGAAAACGTCTATGACCAGACATACGTTTTATCGATCCCGTCATTCATATGGATCAAGATAATGGAAGGGGCCTCACCTCGCTACGCACACTCCTGCCACGTCGTTGGGAAATCCCAGATGTTGACCGTTGGCGGAGCTCGATATGAGAACATCACCCAGGGCTGTGATTGGGAATATAGGAGTGTTGCGATATTGAATTTGAAGAATTCCCAATGGGGAATGTCTTCGACTACAATGCCGGCGAGTACGAACTGCCAGCGAAGATTATTAATGTTATTGGTGGAAGGTTAGCCAACTCCCCTCCCAAAATGAGTCTACCGACATGATCTAACACACCCCGAAGCGCAACAGGAAACGCCACAGTAACCAGCCCCCCCTCCGGCTTCAGCAACAAAGAAGTAGAAACATACTTCAACAACCCCAGCGCCCTTTTACCAGCCTCAAAACCCCACCTCACAGGCCCGAAAATCACCGGTGTCGCAATCGGCTCATTAGCCGGCGCCATTATACTCCTCGGCGGCAGCGCATACTACTACATCAACAACCGGCGCAAACGCAAACAAATAGCGAAAGACAGCGACCAAGAACAAAACATGCGCGAAGCCCCGGGCCAACATAATGGTATTTATGAAGCGCCGCCGGACTCGGTGACGGCTCGCTTTGCTCGGGCGATCTTTCGGAATCGTGCGAGAAGGGCGGAACTTGAGCCGCACCCGCCTGTTGTTCATGAGATGGATGCGGATCCGCAGGTTTTTGAACTTCCTGGTAGGAATTCCAGGGTCGAGAGGGGGGATGATGAAGAGGATAAAAAAGATTAGGATGGATTGGATTGGCTGGGAGAAGGGATGGGTTTCTTTTGGTTTTTTTAACGAGTGTTTTACGAGTGAATGAGTTATGATTTGGATCTAGCAGATATGAATATGGGAGTTTCAATTAATGATATTTTTTTAAACTCTAGAAATTCTGTTCTATAATTGATAAGGGAGTGAAGAATGGAACAAAGAAAAAGCGTTGGATGAAAGGACGATCTCATTCACGGTCTCAATCTCGATTTTCTCATTGAGAAGGAGCTCTGCCCAAAATGGATACCTAGGTATATGATGAGCTCCTTCCGTGAATTGCACCTGTCTCTTCTCTCCTCTCTCCTCTCTCCTCTCTCATTCTTCCCCATTCAATCCTCTCCCTTCCTTCCCCGTTCTCTCTGTACCAATCTCCATCTTCAATTGACCCTACACTCATCTCCCCTCAAGATCTCAAAATGGGTATCACAAAGACACCCCCACCCGCCCACGACGATCCTTCCGAGCCAACCTCACCCAAGTTGCCTGACAAGTTGACCAAGTCTTCAGTCACAACCCGGACTTGGAAGACCAAGAAATCTGAAGCAGATGATCTGCCATACCACCCCCCGAGCAGGAAAGGGAAAAGACGTGCTGTTGATGAGAACCTACCAACAGAGTCAAAGTCAAACCCAACCGATTCCACCGAGGCTGTGGACGTGAGCCCGCCTCCAAAGAAGAGGGCGAAGACTCGAGCCAAGAAGGTTAAGGCTGATGGCGGTACTGAGAAGAACGCAAAGGCTCAAGCCAAAAAGGCTCCATCTGATGGCGGCGTCGAGAAACGCAAAAAACCATGGTTGGACGAGCCTCCGCTTGACCACAAGGTGAAGCTCGTGAGGCTCGCCAGTAAGGTTTCACGGTATCTGCCCTTGAATCCCCAATTCCCCCTCCTCATAGTTTTGTTGCTAACAAGATCTATCACATTCCCAGATTGTTTTTCGCCGGGTATCAAGTAGCTGGTACTCCAGAGAACCCACAGATATCTTTTGATGTCATAGGCTCGACGGGGAACCTCTACAAGACAACCATCAAGGAAGTGCCCTTCTGCGACTGCCCGGACTCGAGGTATCGCCGGACCATGTGCAAACACATTATATATGGTGAGAATTTTGAATTGGACCTGCACTTACTTTCCCTCCATTTTCCTGTCCACTCGGATTTGTTCTATCACCGAGATTCCAGAGGCTAACTCCAATCTGCAGTGTTAGTGCGTGCTTTGAAAGTTCCTACCGAGTTACAATACCAACAAGCCTTTCTCCCATCGGTAAGTACAGGCAAGAGATGGTCATCACTCTTCACCCCAGCAGACACTAATTCGTATATACAGGAGCTCCGTTCCATGCTCGAAAATGCTTCCCACAGCCTCCGAATTGACGTCCCGACGGGAATAACCGCAGAAGAGAACAACGGCACTCGCAAGCCCATCGAGGGCGACTGCCCAGTCTGTTTCATGGAGATGACCGCCGATGAGAAGATCGTCTGGTGTATGGCGACATGCGGGAATAACATCCATGGCGAATGCCTGAGGCGGTGGGCGGCTGTTTCTTGTGATAGTGGTCTGCGCTGTGTTTACTGGTACGTACATGCCTCTACTTGTTTTGCAAAAAGCACCTTCGCTGACGGATTTATAGTCGTTCTCCCTGGAAGAACGAGAAAGATCCCGCCACTGGCCTTGATCTCGAGGACCTCCGCTCACAGAAGAAAGGACTTGGTTCTAACAGATATGTTAGCCTTGCCGAGGAGTATGGCATTGTCCCTAGCCCGAAGAAAGAGGCCGGTGGTGGTGCTGGAGGTGGAAAGAAGGTTCCTGGATCTTCTCAGTAGTTCCGCAGAGCGACACTGTCGCCCTTGTTCTTCGCGAGAATTAGCCGGGGAGGTTTATGGTTTGTGTTGATTTTGCGAGCTTTAATCAATAGGCCACAATACACTACGGGGATTTCTCGGTCTGCTGGAGTATGCTGTACAACATCTTCCTATCTGAATGGGGCTCGTCTTATGTATTCCTATGTCAGGAACGATACTCAATAGTTAATATCAAGGACAATTTTCTTTTATGACTGACTCGTAGGCTTCGGATGTCTGCATAGTGGGTGATTTAGCCGGTGCTTCTGAAAGGGACTCGGGAAGTCCTTATCCTGCCTATGTTCGACTGACTGATGTTCAGAGTATGGGTTATTCAAGGATAAATGTAGATATCATGAGCAAATCTAGCAACTAATTAACTAGTCGATGGTGCGACACTCAGGCCTGAGACATCAGGCCACCCACGCGTTGTCTTGGCCAATCTTACACATCGCACTTCCATCTCACTCTCATAGCACACATCTACTTGCCATCTCGTTCTTGCATAGTCTTTCTCCCTTGCATTTGATACTCAAAATTAGAACAAGTCTTTTTTCCCCTCTTTCGCTAAACCATTCCCCAAAGGACACATAATCTCCGAAGAACCCACCTCTGTTCAGGGGGGGAAAGAGAGCACTTGGCCCCCAAAAACCCATTGGAACCTCTTTGGCCAACAAACCGATAATCCATCCCCAACTAAGAATAAGCTTCACGACCACCATGCAAGCTTCCACACAACAGCAGCAACAGCTTCAACGCCAACAAATGCTCATGGCCCAGAATCGAGCCTTGCAAGCAATGGCCGCCAGGCAACAAGCGCTCGCAGACCCAGCCAGCACTCCTCAACAAGCCAGAGAAAACATCAATAATGACCAAGAGATGCACAACAACAACACTTCCAGATCAATAGAATTCCACGGCGAACATGCGACACTCACACCAGGGCCAAAACCAAACGGCCTAATGACCTTTCATGCAATCTGCCAAACCAGATCGCCCCAAGAAGTCGAGCGCATCCTCTCAACAACCCAACCAACTCCCCAAATCCTAAATTTCGGCCTAGAAGCCGCTCTAACAGGCTCTAACATCGCCGTCGCCCAATATCTTCTCTCCAACCACGCCCCCATCACTCCATCAACGGCGGAAAAAATCCTCCAAACCACCAACCCAAATCCCACGCTAACAGACCGCCAAATCGCCCTCTTCGAACTCCTAACCCAACACGGCTGGACCCCAAATTCCCCAGGAAGTACCGGCGCTCCACTATTACCACAGGTAGCAGCGACCAACAACACGGCGCTACTACGCTGGTTTCTAACGCACGGGGCAAACCCGAATTTCGGCATTCGGCGACTCGGCACGAGTAACGGGGCAACAGATCAATTAAGCTACGAGTCCTGCGCGGCTCTAGAATCCGCCTCTGCAAAAGGCGATATTGAAGCTGTGCAAATGCTATTTGACGCTGGTGCTGAGATTCGCTACGGTTACCCTCTTCACTACGCTGCTGGTGCCCTTCCTGTTCCTGTTCCTGCTGGTGGGGGATCGGGATCGGAACTATTTGACCCAGATCGAAGAATTCCTATCATGCAGCTCCTGCTTGAGCGTGGTGCGGACGTTAATCAGAAAGGGGAGACGGAGCTCGTGGCGCATCATCCTATTATGTATGCTGTTATGGCTGGTGCTGTGCAGAGGGTTCGGTGGTTGCTTGAGCGTGGGGCGGATCCGGAGGCGAGGGGGTCTTGGGGGAGCGCGGTTGAGACTGCTTTTGTTATGGGGAGTGAGGAGATGAAGGCTGTTATGGAGGTGGGGATTCGGGCGAGGAGGTTTGGTGGCGAGGCTAGTTTTGCGGGGGAGGTTCTTGCCATTCGGCCTAAGCCGAGTGGGTAGAAGTGGGTAGTACTATACGAGTCGTTGGATATACTGGGGTAGGCTGAGATGGGCTGCGTTTGGTTTGGTTTGGTTTGGGTATGGCGTGTGCATAGATCTACTTTAACTATAATCAGAGTTTATAGATGATGCAGATGCTAAAGTTTTATAAGGTTTTAGTGCTTATTTCTTGTTAACTGGGACTATGGGCTATGACTATGTAGGATATTGAAGCGACTTAAATTATAGAATAGCCCTGGAGTGCCTGAGTTCCTGTCCTTTGAGTCCTCCTTGAGAAAGGATTTTTTCATACTCCGTAGTGCCAAACCATTACCATTAAGGCCTCGCGTCTCAGAAATCTCAATTGAACACGTCTCAATAACATTGGAATCCACTTGAAATTATACCGTATCGCCAAACCGGGGCTTGTAAACCCAGAACAAGTATGATCAAAGTGGAAACAAGCCACCGGCCGCGCAACGACCAAGCCCTCGACACCTCAGATTCCATCAGATTATCCGCATATTTTCAACTAAGCTGAGTTACTCGTACGCATTACACGGACTCTTGGACTCCGGTTGGTGGGAACTCGCACGAGCCAGGACAACGCCACTCGAGAAAGAGCTAAAACTCTATCAAGACATCGGGGACCAATGTACAGAATGTCATTGGACGAGCTGAAACCTGATTGGTTACAACGAGGCTGAACTCAGCTGGACTCTGCCCTGAAAATAGGTGGGACACGCAAGACTGGCTGGGAGAGTCCATCGAATAGGAATGTGTGTTGAGTGTCGGCACTCGAGCCTCGCGGAGATCCGTTGAACAAAAGTCAGATACATGTATCTTTTCCCGGCCAGTCAGACTCTTAGATTGCCGATCTTGGGCTGTGCTTTGAAGGCAGCACGATTAAGGGTGACAGCGTGGGCCCCTTGACAGGCAACGGCACAGGGCATTTGGTATCCCTTGCTTTCGAGTTGTCTTGTCGTGGATCCGTTCTATGTAGATCATTGTTCTAAGTCTTTCCCAGTTCGCATGAATTTTCCTTGTTTTTTTTTATTACAAATATTTTAATACCTTTTAAGGTAATCCTAAAATAGAAATAGAAACTCGCTGAAACAAAAGTAACTGGGATGTATTTCTCAGCGCGGTCTGTTTTGTTTCTCGCATAAAGTTTCGTATACTAGTCATCCCGAAGTACTCACCCGGACATATCACAACCTAGGAACTCAGCACACCATCGGGATAACTCGGACGATTTCCGAATATCTACTACGGACTGCAGTACTCCTACAACCTTGCAATGTAAGATGCAACCCAACCCCTAAGCCGGATGAAAACCCTTCCCTTTCTCCAAAGGGAAAAAAAAACTCAGACATGCATGCCAACGGAGAATCCCGGTGCCGACTTGCCGGCACTAGAAGGGTTTTCGAAATTCTTAGCGCCTTCTAGCCTGCCTAACCTGCATCATTACTAGTGCGTTATGTCGTGGTGTATCGCCCATACCACCAGCAACACTGCATTCCAATCGTTGTGGCTGTGCACCACTGCCAATCATTTGCATCGAAAAAATTTTTCACTGTGCATTAGCGTTGTTCTAATTCTGCTCTGCAGGACTTGAGACTGTCAGGGCCCTGGCCCGGCACTTTCGAACCGTTAAGGTGCTGACCTCTTTTCCTTTTCGCCGGGATTCCACCGTGAAGGATCACGAATGAAAATTTTTTCTTCTTGGGGGACCGAGCGTGGTGTGTGTCGGGCCGGTTTGGGGTTGAATGCGCCCGACTAAGAAGGTGATTTTACACGACAGAGTGGTGGTTACTACCGTAGTGCTGTAGTGCTGTCTGTGCCGGGCAGCATAGACCACTCCGTATGCTGAGCACTATCTATGACCCGTGCATTGTTTTTATTTCTACAATAGGCAAGTGAATGTGGACCAGATTGTAGGGAGATGGAGATGTTTCCCCGAAAATCGCCACTTCCCCGGACGAAGGCCACGTTGTTGTGGCTTTCGAGCCGAAAATACATCGGCTAGAGGGGCCAAGAGTTCTGGACCGAGAATGAAGGTCAAGTGAGCAGTCGATAAGACAAGGGCTAAGACTACTCTTAAGGGATACTACTAGTAGCTACTAGTACGAGGAATAGAGTGTTGGTCCAGACTCTTCGGTTCGCACGGCACCCCGGGCTTCGGCCCCCCGTCCTCTTGGGGACCCGAGCGCTAAAGCCGAGACCGGGACTTGGGACTGCATCTCCGAGGATTTGGCATGGTATTCAGCATAGCCCTGACCAGATGATTCTTCTTCGTACGATTTGCTTCTTTCGTCTTGTACATACGGATGCACATATTCCTAATCACGCGGATCTTCTCCGGTTCTCGCACGAAATGTACGAGTAATGTACCTAGACTAATGTAGTAGACTAAAGTGAACACCGACTTTGCCACCGTTCCCCCGGTCGGAAGTCGGCCGATCAGATACCACGCTAAGCTTAACGCATGCAAGAATGTCGCTAGAGGCTCTCTCGCCGATGGTAGCCCGCGCAATTTATGTACGAGTACGCGAGATGCTTGCGACCTCGTGTTCAACTTTTTTTGCAGGCCGCGCTAGTTGGACTAGCAGGGATCTGCGGAAGATTTTTATTTTATTTATTTTTTACTTTTATTTTTTTTTGTTCGCGTGGGTTTGTTCCTGACGCCCTGGGCGTTTCTGAGTCAAAATATGTTGACAAATATAGTTGTAATCATTATTATTCATGTTTTGTGTTGATTGACTGGTATTTTAATTTTTTTTTCCTTTCATGTATTTTATTCTGTGCCGTGTGAAATGCGTGACAGTCATAGTCAAAGAAACAGGCCATTGTCAGACCATCAATAACCCAAAGTGTCCTTGTGACCTGGGGAACCTTGGATCGCATAGGCAGATGTTTAGTGTAGCCGAGGGTCTCACCATAGAACAAGGCATAGGGCGGCTCCGACGAGGCTCCTACTCAGACACGGTCGCAGCCGCGCTAGTTGCACTCTCCATAGCTGGTACTCCGTACTAGTACTGAGTCACATGGTACTCATGCCATGGGTCAGCTGACCTCAAAGTCTCATTTTGACCAGATCGGTAGCGTTGAGCCGAGCAGATCGAGCGGAAATAGCTAGAAACTTCGGGGGATGGTATGGCAGGTGTATCTCAGCTGGTGCTGGTGCATTTGGACCTGCCCAAACCGGATCTACCTTGGGATACCCCAGAGAATGTTAGAATGCAGGGAATCCCGATGACCTGGGTGCCACATGGTGGCTGAGCACGACGTGGCTAGTGGAAGGGTAGAACCAGTAGAGTTAGGGTAGACTAAACCGGATTGGGCAAGGGACCCCGGCCGTAGGGTGAAAAAGAGCAGAGAGAAAAGTTGAGTCACGCGGCCCAACGGGTCCAAAACAAGGTGTGGCTCAGCCCTGTAGAAAATCTCGGGGTGCCCTAAATTTGGAGTTTTTGGAGCTTCGGAGATCGGGACTAGTTCGTTAGACCCGGATTATGCAGGTCTACGAGAGATTGCTAAGCGATGATACAGAGTACGATTCAGAATGGTAATCAATAATCCTAATCCATTTGGCTAAGCCCGATGACTCCGGATGTTTTCGTACCCTCCTTCGTACTCCGTATCTCGTATAACCATGGAGGAGCTTAAATTAATTAATGGGACTCGTTTGCAGGGACAGACTCTTGAGATCTCCAATCCAATGGAAATGGACGAGCGATCAGTGACATTTGATTTGATTTGGGGGTGGGTATGTGGCTGGCAGGGAAAGCCACCACTCCACTGCAAGGGGAGAGGAGGGACAACACAGAAGGGGGGAGAGACTGGACACTGGACACACTCCCTAGACGGTACCCCCAACGATCAGCGATCAGTGGATCCGAGTGTGGGTGAATGAGTACGGTACTGTACAGAAGTGTATGGTGAAAATACCACTAGTCCCGTTTGGGGCATAGTGTATGCATCCGATCGGTCGTAATACCGAAATCTTTCGGTCGTCCCGGTGCGCTGCAGTCATGTCGAGCGACGCCTAAACGTCATGGGGGCCTTTGCTTTTAAGAACCCACATCCTTCCGGTCTTTGACTTGAATTCCCTTGATTATTATACACCCATTACTCATACTCACCTCAACTTAACTCACAACAACTCACCTCAACATATTACTCACCCACTCACCTCATATAACATCTGGTAAGCCCATCATCCATCAGAACCAAACTCTTCCCCATTCCAGACCATTTCTGATTTAAGGTTCAACCTCGTCCCAGAACCTTTCCATCACATCCTCGACGTTTCCAGACTCTTCACCCCCAGCGAACCAGATTCCTCAGCACGGCCACAAACTCTTGCCTGCTCCCAAGGATCTCTCGGATCTTGACCCGTCGGAATTCCTCTCTATAAAAAGCTCGCCTCCCCAGGTGGCGAACTCGATCTCCCTCCACCACTGCTGACGTCCCCATACGTGAGATAACATAATGCTTATGTACCCACGTAAGGGTCTCATCACCGATCCATACTCCCAAGAAGACATCATCATACAAGACGATCAGTACCCGCCAGAGCTACTCGACGATTCTGTGCAGTACCAACAGTCCTGCTTGCAACCACCTTTCCAATATCAACCTCAGTTCGCCTCTCCGCCTTCTTCCGCGCCTTCTTCACCCACCTTCTCTTCTCCGACCTTCTCCATCCCATACCCCCCCCCACCAACACCGATAGCCAGTCTTTCGGGGCTGCTTCGATGACCCCGGCTTCTTCCTATAACCCATCCTTTGAGATTCAGGGTCCCAACTCGCCTGCTCACCAATACTACAACCCCACCACCAACCCATCCCAATACTCGCAATACTATACGCCCATGTTGGCCCAACAGCCTATCGCTGCCGGCAACCAAGGTTGGGACAGCAACCTGCAGCTGTTGAGCCCTGCGCGAATTCCTTTCCCGCAAAAGCAGTCGCCCAGCCAGTCCGTTTCGCCTAACCACCACGCTCACCGACGATCCAAC